ATACAGATGGACCGTTCATTTTGAAAGTCGTGCAAATCCATTTTCCCATATATGTTAATTATGTCAAATCGGCTGTGCCTGGGCCGTGAACACTCTCATTTCCTCTCTGTTATTATGTTGTCCAATATTGAACCAATAGAATTTTAGTTCAAGGATCAGTCCTTTCGTTGTGAATGACCCCAAACTCCAAACGGATTGGATTTGGGATGACTTCGCCGTTTGGATTCGTGATCAAACACTGAAGATGGTAAGTAAAGATTGTAAAAGTCTATAAGATACAAAGCAACGAACTCTCAAACTGTTTGAAACAATTTACGGTAAAGCATATTAATTACTGAAATATTTTTGTGTGGAATTCATTAGTTTCTTTCGATAAACTGAGGTGCTTTTGACATTTGAGGTTATGCTTCAAACGTAATTGTCGTAGTCCGAACGAAAACGAAATGATTATTGCAATAGGGACAAAATCAGTCAGGCACCGGTGGTACAGGAGGTGATAAGAAAGATGACAAGGATAAGAAGAAGAAATATGAACCGCCTATTCCTACCAGAGTCGGCAAGAAAAAACGGCGCACAAAGGGGCCGGACGCTGCTTTGAAGTTGCCCCAAGTTACACCACATACACGGTGCAGATTGAAGCTTTTAAAGCTGGAGAGAATAAAGGACTATCTGTTGATGGAGGAAGAATTTATTAGAAATCAAGAAAGATTGAAGCCACAGGAAGAAAAGAATGAAGAGGAAAGGTCAAAGGTGGACGATCTGCGTGGAACTCCTATGTCCGTTGGAACGTTGGAAGAAATAATTGATGATAATCATGCAATAGTTTCTACGTCTGTGGGTTCTGAGCATTATGTATCAATTTTATCATTTGTGGACAAGGATCAATTGGAACCTGGTTGTTCAGTGTTGTTGAATCATAAAGTTCACGCTGTCGTTGGAGTTTTAGGGGATGATACAGATCCTATGGTTACAGTAATGAAACTAGAAAAAGCTCCACAAGAAACTTATGCTGATATAGGTGGTATGTAACATATCACAGTTTTATATTATATTAGTATCCCTGTTCACAGCTTTGCCTGCATATTTGTCCCATTGCTGCTGAAGTCAGTATATGAAAGAGTAAAAGTAATAGTTTCGCTATAGGTGTTTATAAATATTTATCAGTCGCAATATCTTTATCACGTTATGGGAATTCGCGGTGTAAGAACTCGGGACTACAGGAGTCTACTGTATCTGTGTCTCACTATTATACAAAGAGAATTTCGATAGATGCAAATACTTCAATCTTTTTTGAGATATTTGCTAACATACGAACAAATGCTTTCTCTTCATATGATAGTACGATTACGTATTCGCAAACATGTTTCATTGTTTAGGGCTCGATACGCAAATTCAAGAGATTAAGGAATCCGTGGAATTGCCTTTGACGCACCCAGAATATTATGAAGAAATGGGTATTAAACCCCCGAAAGGAGTCATACTTTACGGCCCACCGGGAACTGGGAAAACGTTGTTAGCGAAAGCTGTTGCTAATCAGACATCGGCAACTTTCCTGAGAGTCGTCGGATCCGAGCTTATACAAAAATATTTAGGAGACGGTCCGAAACTCGTCAGAGAATTATTTAGAGTCGCGGAAGAGCATGCCCCGTCTATCGTATTCATAGACGAAATAGATGCCGTAGGAACGAAGCGATACGACAGTAATAGCGGAGGAGAACGTGAAATTCAAAGAACTATGTTAGAACTCCTGAATCAACTTGATGGTGCGAGGAATATTTAAAATCAGACTTAATCGTAGGTTCGTAATCGTAGGTACAATAACTGAGCGTTTGTCAATAATTTAGGTTTCGATAGCAGGGGAGACGTTAAAGTCGTGATGGCCACCAATAGAATTGAGACGTTAGATCCAGCGTTAATTAGGCCAGGTCGCATCGACAGGAAAATCGAATTTCCACTGCCAGACGAGAAGACGAAGAAGAGAATTTTCAGCATTCATACCAGCAGAATGACTTTAGCACCTGACGTAAACCTAGCCGAGCTAATTATGGCCAAAGACGATCTTTCAGGTGCAGATATAAAGGTATCTAAGACATTCCGTTCTGATTTTTCGTAGCGATAAGAGGACGATCGATTGGATGCAGCGAAATACTTTGTTTTACAGGCTATTTGCACCGAAGCTGGTTTAATGGCGTTACGCGAACGCCGTATGAAAGTTACTAGCGACGATTTCAAGAAATCGAAAGAGAGTGTTTTATATCGAAAGAAAGAAGGTTCCCCCGAAGGATTGTACCTATAATAATATTCTTTATTTACATAATGCATTGAAACGTAAAAATATTGTAC